CAAACGCTCGGGTGACCCGGGGCCAGCCACGGCGGGCTGGCGGCTAGAGCGAGATCCCTTTCCCCGCGGGGCTCCGTCCTCATCTAGTCTGTCTGGGGACGTCCCCGTCCTAAACTGGAAAAAACAGTTACAATTGTGTAAAAAAAAAAAGTGTGTCTGTCTCCTGCCCTACCCTCAGGCTTCCCCACCCTCTCCAGATTGCTGTGAATTTACCCCTTAGTTCCTTTCTCTATTGTAAATACCCCTCACGGAGGAAATAGTTTTGCTAAGAAATAAAAGTGACTATTTTATTAGGACTTTGTTCTCCGTTATTCACCCGTCCCCTTGGGCCTGTGTCTTGGGCCTGTGTGGTCCTTCCCAAGGGGCGGTGAGGGAAGCACCAGCCGCAACGCCCACCACCTCCTGCTCCGTAACTCCTCACTAAAGCCAAAGCTGGGTGACAACCGCTGAAACCATATTTGGGGAGAAAGTTTCATCTGCTAAGAACTCCTACATTCTGCCTCCAGCTGGGGGCGGGGCGTTAGTCCCAATCCCCAGAATTTGGCAGAGAGGAGTGGAGTCCAGCAAGCTTCTACTTCAAAAGAAAAGGCCACCCCAGCAATTGTTCTGGGCACCTGGCAGCTCCTTTTCCAGGTTTTGGGCGGTTCCCCAGAGCCACTCTACCCCTTCACCTAACGGCTTCCCACACTCCCTGGTCTTAAATGCTTCACTAGAAATCTGGGGAGAAAGATTTGGCAGGCAGTTGTTTGATTTGTTTGTAGACAGGGTCTTGCTAAGTAGTTCAGGCTGTCCTCCAACTCACTGTGTAACCAGACAGGACTGACCTTGAACTCACCAAAATCCTCCTGCCTCGGCCTCCCAAGTGCTGGGATTACAGGCCTGTCACCATACCTGGTGACAGCCACCTGTTTTTAGCCACCTCTCAATCATTTCTGAGCAAGGTAACATTGAGCTTCTGATTCCATGCCCAAATAAGACCAAAATCCGCAAATGAAATCTTCCTCAAAGAAATTTTAAAGGAATGGGCCCATGCCCCTAGGAGTTGCCCCCAGTGGTAAAGACAGAGGTTGGAGGGGCAGTGAGATGCAGGGTGTGTGGGGTAATAGTTCGGGACAAGCACAGGACACCTAGATGAGTTTCAATACCGGAGGCATGTTTGTTAGAATAAGCACGTTCCCAACACTGCATGGGACACACTTCTAAAAATTCCTTTGCTGTCTGACATTCCAGTTTAAATGGGTACCTATTTTCTCCTTCCTGTTTGGCAACCCCATTTCCAGGAAGAAGCTCATGGACCGTGAGCCCTGGGCCTCCCGTGGATGCCCACAACCCTGCTTTTACAGAGCCTGAGGCGAGCCAAGTCCAAGAAACACTTTTTATTTCAGAAGAAAGGAAATAAAGGCAGACACTTGGGCCACCCTGCCCCTTAGTTCCTGCCTCACCCAGAATGTGGGTGAAAGAGGGACAAGGCCAGTAACCTAGAAAGCCTGTCCTTCCCCCAACCCTTCCTTTCCTCAAAGTGGCAAGGTTAGAAAAAAATTAACTATGTTGTTTCTGCCCTGGCACTGGACAGAGGCCACACTGCAGCCAGGGAGGAAGTGGGATGGCTGAGGGGAAAGGCCCCTCCCAGGCAGAGGAGCTGCCCTGGCTGGCTAGGGGGAGGGTGGAGGTAGGTTTGCGGGCAGAAGGGGAGAGAAGAGCCCTGAAAACCTTTTCCCTTTAACCTGACATATTTATATATTTACAGTGGTAAGAGATGGAGGACAGCTGGGGTCACACTGGTTTTTCAAAGGCAGGGAATGAAAGCTAAATAGCACCCCCATCTTGGTCACATTTTCTTGTCTCCTGGCTCCTAAAGCCTTCAGTGGGGAAGGTGGGGGTGGAGGGAGAGAATGTTTGCAGGGCCAGAGGCCATGGCTCCTTCCAAAGTAGGTGAGGTGGCCAAGGAGGGGGATCCAGGTTGAGTCCCATGGAGGGACTTGGGAGATGCAGCCGCCATGCCTTGCCTCGCCCCCAGCTTTACAGGGCCCCATCAGCAGGGCTACGCCAGGCCCATCTCCTCCAGCACGCTGCGCGGCGACTCATCCTCCTGAGGCAGAGATGGACAAGGGTGATGCAGAGACACCAGGAGAAGCAGACAGGGTGGGTAGGACAACAGCAGTCACAAGGAAGGGAGGAGGGGAAAGCAGAGACAGAGTAGGGGAGAGAAATCAACATGAGTCCCAGGCTGAGTGGGTGCAGGGCCTTCCAAGCTCACAATCTCTGAGCACCACCCCAGCACCCAGGGTGCCAATGAGGGTCCAGGCTGAGTCCATCGCCACCACCCAGAGAACCCAAAGCCAGGAGCTGGGGTCACAGGGGACTCAGGCCCAGGAGCTGAGGGTAAAGGCAGTGAAGCTGGGACTTGGAGACAAGAAACTGGCTTTTGGGTGGCGGGGGGTACAGATGGTTGGGTCCTGATTTTCAGGTAAGCAGGAGGCACCAAGAGGTTGGCACCAGGTCTCTGAGGGTAAAGAGAACCAGACTGCAAAGAGATGAGTCATTAGGGTCTGAGCAGAGCACTAGTAACCAGGGTGGGGGTATGAGCCAGGGTACGTGTGTGTGTGTGTGTGTGTGTGTGTGTGTGTGTGCGCGCGCGCACACGCACGTGCCTGTGTTGTGTGTGAGAGACAGACAGAGACTGAGAAAGGGGACAATGGACCATCATGGTGCAAGCTCAGGTCTGCCCCTTCTTCTCCTGCAAGCATGAGCCCCTTTCCCCCAGCCCTCCCCGCTCCCCACTTCCTCAGAGCCAGCTCAGCCTGCCTTGCTCATCACTGTCACTGCAGATTCCGGTGACTCATCTCCCTGCACCATGGCTCACAGAGACACAGCAGAGAGGGCAGGCAGGAGTAGGTGAGGGTTGGGCACTGGATCACAGGGAGAACCAACACCAGGCATCTTCAGCCTGCCCCCAATCCCCACAGCCCTTTGCTCCTGAGAAGTACAGGCTTTTGAGAGTGTGTTGTAAAAAGTGGAGAAGTTGGGGGAGCAAAGACTGATCTACCACGTGTCCCTTCTTCAATTCTTTCAGCAACACTTTAGGCCAAGAGCAGCATTAAGGAATCCAAGGAGATTTGGCAGGGACAAGATGGCTCAGGTCTTGGGAGGAGGACAGAGCTTGGAGTGAGGCAGACAATTGCCACAGGTGGCTGATGAGCCCTGCTACCCTGCACTCTGTGGGGTCAGGGCTTGAGAGAAAGCTGCACATGATGGGGGGGGGCTAGACACCACGGGGGGTGGGGGCGCTGCGCCCTCAGTGGCGGGCAGGATGGCCTCGCACTCTTCAGCCTCGGCACTCTTCCTCCTCCTCCTCACAGTCCCCGGCTCGTACCTCCTGCAGCAGGTCGGCCTGCTCGATAGCCTTCAGCACGCTCTTCTTGGAGGTGTCCTGGACGTCCCCACCCATTAAAAACTCATCGAGGATGAAGTAGGCCTTCTCAAAGTTGAAGATGATGTCAAGCTCACACACCTGTGAGAAGGGAGAATTTAGCACTGAGGTGCACCCCAGTCCCTCATTTTTCCCACAACCACTCCTCCTACTCTGGGTTCCTATGAGTCTCATGTCCTCCCTATCTCTAGTCCTTAATACTTGGGTTGGCTTTTATTTTATGTTATTTTTGGCAGCGGCGGGGCGGGGGGAGTTGAGACAGGGTCTCACTATGTAGTTGAGACTGACCTGGAACTTACTGTGCAGCCCAGGCTGGTCTCGAACTTGCAGCAATCCTCCTGCCTCAGCCTCCCCAAGTGTTGGGATTACAGGCATACGCCACCACACCTGGCCAGGTTGGCTTTTTCTTACCTTCCTCTCTTGCCCCTTGTTCCCTGAGCAGGTACTATTAGTCACTTTCATCTGCCCTTGTCTGTGGGTTTAGTTATCTTCTCTTTAAAATCTGTTATTTTTGTTCCCAGGGAGGCTGGGTTAGGCTGCCTCCCCAGGTCCTGGGGCAGGGACAGAGATTTGATCACTGGGTCCCAAGCAAGGTTCTGCCAGTATCCAGGAAGCAGCACACATCACAGAATGTCTCTGAGCCTGTTTTCTCATCTGAAAATGGATACACCAACACTTATGTACAGGATAGAATAAGGAGAAAACAAGAGCCGGAAAGGGCTTTGGGTAGATCATTTAAGAAGGGTACAAATTATGGAGTCATCAGTATCCTCCATCTAAGATCTGAGATGTATGCCCAAGTCCAGGCCTGGGGCTATAACCCCGATAAGTTCTCTAGGTTGTTAGGACTCCAGTATTATTATTATATATATATATATATTTTTTTGAGACAGGGTCTTGGTTTGCAGTCTAGGCTGACCTTTAACTTGCAGGTTTCCTGTTATATATTTTTTTGAGACAGGGTCTTGCTTTGCAGTCTAGGCTGACCTTTAACTTGCAGGTTTCCTGTA